TAATTGTGGTACCTTAACTTACTGACTTTCAGAAAATAATTTCTGGTTGAAGGCATGACTTGAACTGAGGACCAGAATAAAAATCTAGCTTTTAATGAGCAATTTCTGCATATGTGTTTTGGCCCTATTGAACTATATGCACTTTGACTAGGTTTTTTTGCAACTACTGGTCATGAATGTTTGGATTTGCAAGTCACAAGGTATCACTATTGAACTTTGACTAGATGAGTGAACCACTTTAAAAAAGCAAGGAAAAAAGTAAAGTAATTCCCAATATGACTGATTTACCAATTGTGTTCACATTTGTATTCACTACAAACCAGTGCCTTTGCCAGCAAAATTCCACCATAGAAATGTATGCTGAAAATCACCAAGTATCACAAAAATAAACTCAGAAGTATTTAGATAAAGCATTTATCTAACTCTTCTAACTAGCATCTACTGCATTCTATTCCCCTATTGCCAACTACATTAGTAAACACTGTGCTATCAGCAGTAATCCATGTATATTAACTTGCTGTTTCTGTATTACCCTGCTGAACTAATATTGCTTAGAAATACTGCTTCCTAGTAATTAGGGTATTTTCATAGGGCACAGTTCCAGAATTACTAAGCACCTTAATAACTTTCATGCATTTTTCTGTCACAGTACATTTAACAGCAAAATCTCAAGAACCTGCCAGAGAAATAATAAAAAACATGAAAATTGTTGATACAGTGCAGAACTGCAGTGCCTTGGGGTTGTATGCAGTGTGGATTCTTTTATGTTTCCATCAGGCAAACAACATACGGTTGACTCTCCGAGTGGATTACGCTTTCCTCAGTATACCACTTTCACATACCTAGATTATGCAAACAGGTATGTGGTAAGATACCCAAATTATAGCAATTAGAGGTGTCAGTTTTACAGTAGCCCATCACTAAAGCCTTCCCAGCACAAATGTGTCCTTACAAACTTTTAATGAGATAGAGAGTTACAGATCCCTTTTTCCTCCTTTTGTTTTGTTTTGGTTGTTGGGTTTTTTTAAGATAAGAAAACTCCAGTCACCTCTCATTTTAAAGGTTTGAGTTTATCTGCTCATCCCCCATCTGATATCTTCCTCCACAGAGTGACATTACAACCTCTTTCATCACAAGTGTGGATGTCAGGACATCACTTAGAGCTGCAGGTGGAAGCATGAAAAGGGAGAACAGAGGAGCTCTGAATAAACACAGATTCTATTTTCATGTTAATGACTCCTCTTAATGAAACAGAGGATACAAGAATACAAAATACATATGAGCTACAAGGAGCTGAGTTGTCTCTACACATAGTGTTTTCTCAGTTATGCAGTAGGCATCAGCAGATTGCTTTAATGTTGCTCTCCAGGGGTTTAAATTTCTCTGGGGTGGTAGTAGGAGGGGGTGTTTCACAGAGCAGCCAAAAAAAAGAGAATAAAAAAGAAAATTCTCTTGGAAACAGATATAAGAAATGCAGCTGTAAAAGACACTACAGTTTCTCTGACAGCACTTGCAGGGAGACCCTTCTCAAGACTAAAACTAGCAAGCTCAGTGATGTTTATTCACAAGACTTAGAGTGACCCACAAACTATTTACAAGACCACATGACAGAGTAAAATGGCAATTAAAATATCAGTGAATCACGAAAATGCATCTTTGCTTTCATCAACCATTCGAATCCGTTTAAAAGTCTTTAAAGTCTTCCAGATGTTCCTTCCCTGTCAAAAGAAACAGTGTTAAGTAAATGCAGCCTCAAGAAGGCCTGATGCCAAAGGCTTTGCTTTGTGTCTTCCTGATCTTAGAAAAGTCCCAGTTTAGATAGTTCTGGGAGCAATCTGTATTAAAGCAACTCCTCAGCCTTCCTTAGATATCGGAATATAGCCCTCATTCTCCACAGATATTATAGCCCTCATTCTCTGCACAATACAGCTCTGTCCTGGTTCATCCCTTCAAAACCATCTGATTTAGAGAAAGCACCAGGAGCAGGAGAGAGTATCCCCACAGTCTCCTTTCCTTGAAAAGTTGTGACTTCAGGACATTTTCCTTCACTATTCATTTCTGCTCTTAAAAATAACTGGAAGTCAGTCTTCTGACTTTTCAGGTTGATTAGACTCTGCATATTTCCAAGCCAAAATGTCTAATAATTAATTTAAAAAAACCAACAAACAAACCACAGGGCACTGAGCAAGGCTCTGCCCAACTTGTACATCAGGACTGGCTATAGAGATGTTGCTGTAGAAGTTTGGATTTCAACGGTACATCTGAACCCTCTTATGTCCCAGTTCCCTTTTGGTTTTCTTCCATGGGGAGTCAGCAGTGGCCACGCTCTGAGTGCAAAGGGCTGCCTTTCTGATTCAGCACTTCAGTGCCTATTTTGTCCTCAGGTACTTGGCTGCACAGAAATGGAAATGCATAGAAAAGCCCAGTGTTGCTCTCTGCGGTGTACATGTTTCTCAATTACACATGCACAGCTCTGTTTACTACTATGGATGGTTTTGAGGACAGACTGTCTATATAATTGCAGCTAACAGTATTTTTTTTCCAAGGTGATGATGATCGTAATAAATAAGCCAGAACGAGATGCAACACTGTCTCCACAAGTTGTATTATTTTTACTGTTGATAACAGAAGTACAGTCTAGCTTACTGAGGTGTGTTATGCAAGGGACATTTTGTTCAAGGTGAAAATACAGGCTTGCAGTTTCATGTTTTGTTTATGGCTGTAGGGAATTAGATGGGTGGTTGGAACATCTTTTCATCTTTTCAACTTACTCTTTGCCTTTGAAGCTCCAAGCCTGAGTTCTCTTATTTGTTAGGTTCTAAGAGGCCTTCAAAGTTTGAGCTCCATGGGAATGGAAAATGATCATTTTCATCATTATTCTTATTGCAGGCATCCATCCGCTCAATTCACAATAAACCACTACTGTAAGTAATGATGGGAAACTTCAAAAGGTTTGGAGTGCAGTACAGGACACAGGGATCCAGGAATATTCTCTCCAGCTCTCTGACCCTCTTCAGTGAGTACAATTTTGTTGGATGACTCAAAGACTGGGTCCCCAGATTTCTAGGACTTTCTGCTTTTATTAGCCCAGAAAAAACAAGAGATGTGTGGGCCTGTGTGTTTGCATCTGACATTTTGAAACCCTGTTAGGAGTCCTGTAGGAAAAAAAATAGGAGTGATATAAATATATATGTGCCTGTCTATACAGACGCTCACACAAAAACAAGTTTAAGTTAAAAATAGAATTTAATTTGCAAAAGCTTCAGCTAACACAGGTTCTGAGAAAGGATTAAAAGCAGGAGCAGCAAACAAAATCTCTGGTATATCCTTTGCAGACCAAATATAAATTCAACTTTGGAAGTAAATTTGACCTAGAGCTCGTACTTCTTTCATAAATTAAAAGAAAATATTTGACTGAACCACTCCTGAATCTTGATATGTTCAAAACCTGTGGTTTTGGCACAAATTTACAGTTTAGAAGCTACCATGGGGGGTCTCATTTTAATCACCTGGTTCAGCTTCTCCTGATTTCAAGATGACTATTTTATCAAAAGCTTCTCTTTTAAAGGCCAGATTCACAGGACATGAGCCAACTTCTGCTCACAGGTGGACTACTGCCTCCATAAAAAGCTGATGAGAAGTCTCGCAGATTTACACCAGTGTAAGCAAAAGTAAGCCAAAATATAAAAAATTAAACTTATCTTTGATTTAGACTATGACAACCATATTTGCAGGAAAACAGTCCAGTATTTCCTTCATTCCTCAGCTTTCTTTTCCACATAAGTCAAAGTTACACTAATTGCTATTGCATGACAGCATGGAGGTGTTTCAGATAAGTATTTTACTGCAAGCCTGGTTACAGAGCTTTACTCTGGGTATGCAAATTGTTGCTATGGAAAGCAAATGCAAAGAGATCTGCCTGCAATCAGAATCATGAGAAGAGAATCAGTACACCAGAATCACTGGGTAAATCTGTCATGACTAAAGCTGAAGGAGATGAGGCTCACAATACAAAGAAATTTGCTAGTAGTGAAGAACTGCAGAATAAAGTTTGGACCTACATCCGGGGGTTATTTTTCAGCGGTTGTGGCCACTACAAGTGTTTGAATCTGAAGTCAAATCATCCATTACAGACACCCCATACACTAAAAATTGTGAAATGCTCAGATTCTATCATAACCGTGTAGGCTACGGCCCTAAGTGAATTTAGATACAAATTGTATAGCATAAGTTAATGCAGCAAAGAATTAAACTTGCCTCAGGGACAAAGAGCTATGATACTTCTTTAAGGTAACTTTGGCATCAAACTTGCAAACGTTTTGTCATTGCTGTAACCAGCTGACATTCAGATTCAGCAACAGGAACTTACACATGGCTGATCCATACAACCTGAAATCTGACTGGAAATCTTGCACGGCTGCTTAGAAGCAATATTGCACAGTGATTTAAGCTCATAATGAAGAACTGTGTGTGCCTAGTTCAATGGTCAACTTGCTCACTTTCAAGGACTGAAGTAGGTCTAACAGCAGTTAAAAGCATAACACCAGCCACTGGAGGATGTCCACTGTTACCCATGGCAGAAATGCTAGTATCCTCAAAGACTCCAAGACTTCAGTCTTTGGCCCTCACTGGTAGCAGGACCAGATTGATCTCTTCTTTGTATTTGGTGCAAAAGCAAACAAGCTTATGCTGAACAGAGTTGTGTTCAAACTCAAAATGTTCACAGGAAATTGCAGAACTCTCTTCTCCAAAATCAATGCTTTCTTTAGACTATTATTCAGTATATTTCAGTCATGCATCTTCCTTAGATCAAAGACCCCACTTTCACGTGCAGTATAAACACATAACAGGAGGAATAATGCCCCTTTCATACCAGTTCAAAGTTAATCTCAACAAATCAGCAGTGCAGACTGCATTCAGCCATGTTGCCCCCATTTCAACATCTCTGTACATATGGGGAAGCTGTGTCTAGAAAATGAGGAAGAGGTTTTTGCTCTTACCAGTAGAACCTGTTTGGTGCAACTCCCTCATGAAGAAGCAGCCATCTTCTGCCAAACTCCACTGAACTGAATAACTGGGGACAAAAACAAACAGTCATGAATCACAGTAAAACACAAAGATAATAGAGAAATTAATCTGAAGAAGCCTGTATTACTCCTGCGATAGTGACTTGGACTTTTACTTCTTCCAGCCTCAAAGGAACACATCTGGGGCAGCTGAAAAGTGTCTGCAGTGCCTTTTATTAGCAGAGGCAATACTGAGCTGTGTGACATGGGACACAACCGGTATTACCTGAGGGATCACCGTATGGGTACACCCAACGACCTGCCATGACTGAAAACTCATCATCTAGCTCTTTGTGGCGCTCTCAGGTAATAAAATCATGCAGTAGGAGAAGGCTGCCTTTTACTTTTATAAACTTGTGGTGGACACCAAATGTATAGCATAACACAGCAGTCTGATATCCTAGCCTAGCTCTGACAACAGATACACAGACTTGCCTGCCTTGATATTATGTCGGAAGGTCATTCTCTTTCCACTTACCAGTAGCCATCCCTAGAGAAGTTGTTCAATCTGGCACCAAAAACGTACTCTAACATGTCCAGATTTCTATTGCAAGACTGAATGAGTTTAAATAGCACAAGTTACTTGTACCATGGAAACCTGCAATTCTCCTGTCCAGGACTTTGCTCCTGTCCTTCTCCAGCAAACAACGTGACACCTTCTCCTAGTCTGGTTACACAAACAATATCCAAACACATCAATCATTTCAGAAAATCTTTCCATGACAAATACCAAACCAGACTGAGAAAGGTCAGCAAAAAGGCATGTTACAGGTATTATAAATACTTTGACATGTCTTTGTGGAATGATATACAAATGTTACTTTTATAGAGCATTTACAAACAGCTGCTCTCTGCAAATGCTGCCATCAGGTAATTCTCAGAAGGATAGTAGAAGGGAGGATCACTTGGGTTCTGCCTTTCTTTTGCTTTATTTAACTTCAAATTTCTCATGTGGAAGCATTGAGAGGCAGTCAGACCTATACTTTTCTTGCAGATTCATCCCATGTCCCTTCCTTCCCCTGCTTGATAGACTTGGTCAGTCCCCTTTTCTGGCAAGGAAGTGTTGGACCCCTTTTTTGAACTGTGATCTGCCTTTTTAGGGCACCACTTTAGAGATCTTGCAGAAAATGCAAACAATCCGAATCTTTATGTGCAAACCCTGACCGATTTTTTTTTTTGAATGAGTAGTGGCAGTGGATTGGCAGGGAAGAGAAAGATGGATGCCTGAGAGCATGACTGAGAAGGAGAGAAGCTGATTTAAAGCTTTGGGTTGATCAGAAAGATGATCTGAATGTATTTCAAGAATTATGAGACTGCAATGTAAGAAACCTTGAGATCTACTTCCTAGTCTGCATTACATTCCCAATGCAAACCCCTACATCCTTCAGTTTCCCTACTGTAAAACTTTGGAAGGACATGGAGAAACTAATTACAATAGCTGCTTGGTAAACAGTAGACTGTGCATATGTTGAAATCTACTTTAAAATAGGAATCTGAAAATTCACCTCCTTTTCTCATCTCCCTTTCTCTTGAACACTGTCAAAGAAGATAGAGGGAAGAAGGCAGAGGGGATAGAAGATAATGATGGTAAGAAAAGGAAAAGCAGTTTAGCTTTGTGGATAGAAATGCATCCACTTTTAAAACTTCAGTGGTGAATCTTTTATTTTTCCTTAAGTAGAAGATTCTAAATACATTTTTATTTGAAACTTTAAGGCACCCTAACTATAACTGAGGAAAACTTTCATTTTTGAAAACTGAAGAAAACCTTTTGGGACATTTAACAATGACTTTTGTAAAGTTCTTTGAGGTCACCTAATCAAGAACTTTACCATTACAGGAGGTGTTTTGCCACCTTCACATTCAAAATCCATTTCTAGACCTGCTTTTGTAATTGCAGCAAAAATAAAAACATAATAACAATAAGCTACTGTCGATCTATCTCACCAATGTCAATGTTTTCCCTTTCATGGAAAAGTAGTTTCTTCTGTGCCAAGTAATAAGTCTTTGACATACAGTCATTTAAGTTTTAATAAAGTTCAGATCATCCTTTAATCAAGAACAGGAAGCAATCTAAACAACTCAGCAAACACCTCTGTGTTTCCAGACCAGGGATATATAAGATGTAAGCTTTCCAGGGACACTGATGTTCAGATGGCTGAAATCATCACAGTAAATCTTGTTTTCCCCCTTTTGCACCTCTCACCCTACTCCCTCTCTAGTTTCCCTGAGCACAACTTTCAGCAGGTTATCCCCTCTCTGAATTTTCTGGTGATAGTAACAGTATCCTGAATGAATTAAACACAGCCTGCAAAAGCTTTCTCTGTGCTTGTGTAGCATCCTCCTTCATACCTGCAGTCCCACTGCAGTGCCCGGTGGTTGAACGGCCCCAGAGCCACAGCTTCCCTCTGGCTCTTTCAGCACAACTCTTCAGAGGGGCTGTTCACCTGGTGCATCCGACAACTCCCCCAGCAGAGCAGAAGCTGTGATCCTGCACAGCGCCCAGGGAGCCCTGCTTTCTCTTAGCGTGTGCTCTGAACGAGACATGCGATTCAGGCAAAACGTGGAGAAATGCAAGACTTTATGAGTTTCTTTCAAAGGGAGGAAATGGATATAGCAATTCTACTGCCAGGATTGGCCTCTCAAATTGAAGCCAGTGCCCAGTGAGCTGGAGACAGTGTGTGAGAAAAGGCAACAGCTCTCAAAGGGAAATATCATCTCCCTGGGAACCCATGCCCAAAGCGCTCATTGTCTTTGATGAGACACTTTAATAACCAGGCTTTAGAAGGTTTTTCCTCCTTTGCCATTATCTCAGCACCAATCTCAGCCTTTACTGACTCACAGGAGCACAAGAAGCACTAATGTATCTTTAGCAAAGGGGGAATTCCCCACCTTATGTGTCACCCCCCTACAAAAAGAAAAAAAAAAAAACACCTTTGCAGTGAGGATTTTTTCAGGTATTTTATTCCAAGTATCATTCATTTTAAACTGAGTTTATTTAGTTGGACCAGAAAAAAAAAATATTTGGAGGCTAGGTTTTTGTCAAGTATCAGTTATGATACAGCTGGGATTATTTTTCCCCATTTAGCAATTATAGTGCTTGTACGGATATTTTTTAAACCCAGCACCATATTTTGTTGTTGTTATAAAGGCCTCCTCTCCCCTGGGTCTTCTTGTGACAGACTCATGCATGTAGTCCCTTCAGAGATGACATTTTATTTTCTTTGGCAAGCACTGCCGTCTGATGACAATTTTCATTATTAGACTGAATTTAGATAATGTTCTTTGCTACACTTCTTTCTCAACCACAAATAGAAAAGGAACCTATTACAATTTCAATGTATGTTTTCATCTGAGGGCCAAGTAGTGATCTGACGTTTCTGTTTTCACTGACAAAACTGTTATGAAGAACAAATCTTGTATTGATCTCTCAGATTTGACCCTTGTTCATCAGGGAATAATTCTCTTCTTGCTTCCTCTTCTCTTGTATATTTATTTTCCTGTGTAATACCTGAGTACTTAACAATCATTAACAGTCTGGTTTTGCTTTGTTTTGCTTTTTTAAATCCTAATATTCTGTGAAGTAGAAACCTACCACCTACCTCTTTTAGATGGGAAAACAGAAATGCAAGGGAAAAGGAAAGGCTGTCCCAAGGTTACAAATACCTTCTGAGGCTGAGCAGGGATTCAAATAAACCCTCTGAACTGCAAGACAGTCCCCCAGCTATAGAAAGAGCCTTCTCGCAACATGACACTACTATCTTCTGGAGTAGGGAAAGCTGACATCTGAAAACTGAACTTCTCTCCTTATCTACACCAAACAATTTCTGTATGCTACTCACCCTCTCTGTTATTTGTTTCCCAACCCGTGTGAGAAGCATAAGAGTTGCTCATGTATTTCATAGTGATAGCATAAGCTTCATCCTAAAATGCTTTGGGATATCTGGGTTACAGCAGGATACAGTTGCCATGTAATCTTCTCTTTCCCTTCTAATTTCCTGATCTTTCCAGCACTAATTTTAGACTTGAGCAGTTTTTTTTGCATTTTGGGCTATATTCATTGATAACATTTTCAATTTGAGACAGTCAAAACATTCTTTAATACATAGATTTTTTAAAAAACAAAAAATATTGTTTGTACACTAAGGATAACTGTCCTATGATCCAATGAAAATGCAGAAGAAAAACAAAATATTTTAGAAATGTTTGTAGCTAAAAACCCAAAGCATTTGATGATGAGGAAGAAGCTGTATGTATAAATTCTTAGTGAAAGTAAAATATTTAACAGTAATTAGTCAAACCTGAATAGTTTATTTACTTTAATTTTTACAATTTGCACTATAAAAAATAACTAAATTCCAGAAAATAGGGAGAAAAACAATGTTTTTCCAAAATGTTCCATGAAGAATAACTGAATTTTATTTGGCTCAACTGATCTAGACTGCAACATCACTTCTAGAAGGGAAAGTGTGTACTAGGGAATAGGAAAAAGAACTCTACATTTTTCTTTACTTCAGCTCTGGAAAATCTCTCCAAAGCCAAAAGCTCTCAAGATCTTAGCTTCATAAAACCCTCTGTTTTTTAAATGGTTCTGGATACATTCTGCCACACATCTTTCTTTGCCCTTCTGCCCTGTATTGCATAGAATGAACACTTGTATAGTTTCATAACCTACCCGTGTGCTAGTTCACAGCTGTAAAAGAGCTCTGGCCCCTTCCATCGTTTGACTAGATCTATTTTATTCTTCCCTGGTTTGCCCATGTATTGTACCTCCTACACATCTTCCCTTCACTCAGATTTCTAAGTTCTTTAGAGTAGAAATCATCTGTTGTAGCATGTGTTTACACAACATAAAGATTGCTGGGGCTCTCAGTAGCTTTTATACATACAAGGAAATGATAAGTGCAGATAAGTGTAAGGCCAACTTTTCCCTGTAATAGATACTTCAGTAAAAAGTTCCACTATTCAGAATGGTGGAAATTAGATGATTTTCCCACATTATTTCTAACAC